ATCCTGCATCAGTGCTTTGCAGTCCAACGTGAGTGGGCCTTGGTGGACGGTGATCAATCCTTCCCCACACCTCAATGCATGGCTTGTCATTCCCCCACTCCTTCCCCCTCCCCTCAGACAAGCCCCTGCTCCCTTTCCTCTCCCCCCTTTTTCTTCTTCCCCTCCTTCCCTCTGCTTCCCCGAGGGCTCATGTCAGTTTGGCCGCCATGGAGTACATGGAAACAATTAGCTCAAGTGGCTGTGCCAAGCCTGGCAGGAGCCTGGGATCTCAGTGCAGCCCAGCAAAAGCCTCTTCCAAAATCATGTTTCTTGGATCAAGCACTCAAAACCACCTGGAAAACATGAGGGGCGGCTCCCTAGCCACACAGCTCCACTCGCACCACCGTCCCCTTGACCCAGGAGGGTGAAGTGACAGTGTCCAGCTATGTCCTGGCTCCGTTCAGCACTGAGGAGCAGGAGAAGCTGAAGCAGATCCTGGCCCAGGCCACGACGTTCCTGCTGGAGCACATCCTGCGGAGGAGAGCGCCCGCGGGGGAGCCGGGGGACAGGGGCTGATGTGAACCCCCAGGGACCTGCGTGGCCAATGGACAGGGCACTGCGGACTCTCCGGGGTGATGGTGGTGCAGAGCAGAGCTGGCCCTGCCAGGCAGCCTGGCTGGGTGCTGGGACAGCCCCCATCCGTCCCCACACAGATCCAGGCAGCTCACATCCTTGCGGTGGCCTCGTATGGCAGTTTGGCACAGAAATTAAATAAAAACCCTTGCCCCTGGCTCTCCCCTGATCCTGCCCCTCTCTCCTGCGCTGTCCACTGAACTCAGGCAGTCTCTGGCTCTCTGCAGCTCAGATCCGTGTTCCCATCTCTGTTCCACCAGCCCAGGCTGGAGGGAAGCTTCCAGTGGGAAGTGGGGAGTGATGGGAACGACTTCCACAGGGTCCAAAACCCAACTTCGGCTTTGTTGAGAAACCACGGCAAGCAGGAGTCGCCTGGAATCTCGTAGCTCGGCAGCAGATGAGGGCTGCTCCTGCTGAGCTGCAGCAAGTTTTAGGGCTGGCCTCACAGTTTTTGAGTTCAGTGGTTTTAAGCCAAAACCCTGGAGTTTCCAACAGCTGGAGGAATTCTGGCTCCTCCTTGCAGACCCATTACAGGTCTCATGGTGGAGGGCAGCCCGAGAAGCAGGGTCCCCCTGCCGCAGCTTCCGAAAGCCCTGGGCTCCGCCAGCACGTCCTGTCAGCTGCGTACCCTGCGAGCGCGGCTGCACCAAGAGCCCCAGCGCGGGCAGCTCCTCGCCCACGTCCCAGCGGGTGCTGGAACAAGCACTAGGACCCTTGCTGGGTCACGTGTGCCGCAGCACTGCTGCCTCTTCCTTCCTCCACTCCAACTGGCACTAGACCCTCCTCTGCTCCATCCCCAGCTCCTGAGCTCCTCCAGTAGCATTGAGGCTACCTGCGACCAGGGGACAGGCAGGGAGGCAAAGGTGTCCCCAGCCTGCCATCACCTCTTCACCCTGCAGTGTCATCCATGCCTGTAGTGGCTGGGACCCTGCAGTTGTGGACTATGTACTTGGCCATCTCCTTCTTCCTGTTCTCCAGTAGATCCACTCAGATCTTCAGGTCCCACGTGATCTCCTGGAGCTGGTTGTTTTCCTTCTGGAGGTCCTTGCTGTAGCTGTTCATCCTGCCCCGAATGATGCTCTCCTGGATTACTTGGTCTCAGACATTCCACTGTGGGTCTCAGCTACTGAGGCTTCCACCCACTGCTCCATCGCCTTCATCAGGCTGTGGGGAGAAGAGGGACACAGCCCCCCCCAACCCTGGGTGAGGGCAGCAACCCACCATCCCAGGGCTAACCCCAGCAGCTGCTCCAGGGCAAAAAGGGTGGAGAGAGGCAGCAGCTCTGGGGGCCTGGCAGGGAGCTCACATCTCCCCAGGTCACCCAGACTAGGGCTAGTTGCAGTGTTTTTAAAAAAATTGCTCCTTGGCTCCAGAAAAACCTGTTTTCAACCAAACGTTGCCCTGCTGAGGAGCTGAGGTTTAGCACCAAACAAGCCAGGGCTCTTGGAAAGCAAACACCCTTCTCCAGCACTGGCCACAAAGGTGACAGATGCCGAAGCCCAGCAGGACTCGGCTGCACATCTCCGTGCTCAAGCTGGTGTCGGGTTTTCAGTCTGAAAGCCAAACCCTCCGCTGGGGACACCAGCACCAATGAGGGAAATAATTTCCATCAGCATTCCCAGGGGAGAGCTGAGCTCCACAGAAATGCCACCCACCTTTTCACCCCCAGGCCCCAAGGGAGAACTCCATCTCAGTCTCCCACCCGACCTTCTTCCCTCCCTTTCCCCATTACAGATTTTATTCCCAAAGCAATCCCCATCCGGGGGAAGTGCCAGACCCTTGCCACTCCAGCTCTGAGGTGACCCCAGTGGGATATGTCCTGGGGACATTACGTGGGGCAATGCCACCCGACAGAGCCAGCACCCGGCATGTCAGCTCAAACACAGTCTGCTTTAATCCTCCCTGGGCGTCAGCCCAGACACAGCACAGGCGAGGGACAAGCCCGGTCGGTGGCAGAAGGCCACATGTGCCACTGCAGGAGCCAGTCCCCAGCCTGAAAAACACTCCCCAAAGTCCAAACTGGTGGGAGATGGCAGAGTTGGCATCGCTCAGGGCAGTCCCAGGCACACGTCCCCAGCAGAGATGGCGCACAGTGCTCCTCCAGTCCCTCTGCCTGGCAGGGAAAGGGCTCTCCGGGAGCCCTGGGGACAAATCCTGCCGGGGGGGGATTCACCGTGGGGAGATTCGAAGGACCCCGGGGGGAGTCCAACCAGGGATGTGTCTCTGGCTGCGTCTCTCGAGCGGGAGTGGGCAGGATCAGGCCACTCGCCCGTGGTGCTCCCAGCTGGGTCACAATTCCTCATCCCTAGGAGACAAGGATGCAAACGTTAGCGGTCAAGGCAGGAGCAGCCACATCACGTCTGAGCCTGCAGTAGAAGGTTGTTTTCCAGCCTCCCCCGGTCTGGCTGCTCCTGGGGAGGCTCCGCTGCCAGCACAAGCAATGTCCAACAGGGAAAGTCTGACCCGGCATTAACCATGGCAGTGCTGCCTTGGGGCTGAGTGAGTGCGGGTCCTTGCCTGCCTGCACGGCCGCCCCACGGAGACACAGCCCCAGGGAAACCCACTTTTGGGGGGCAGCAAGCAGCGACGGGGAGAAACATTCCCCTGCGAGATGCCTTCAGCTCTCTCCAAACTAGGGTGACTTTTGAAAGAGGTGAAGAACCATTGTCCGCTCCTCGCTTGAGGGGCTGAGGAGCAGCATGGATTTAGGGAGCAGCAGAATCTGGTCCCCTGGTCCCCTCCGGCCCAGTGCAGCCCAGCATGGGACATCTGCGTCCCCATCCCTTTCCCCGCCTGGACGAGGAGGTCTCATCTGTGTTTCCCAATCCTGGGGAGAGCTGCTGCCACATGGCAAAAAGGAACTAGGCATCTGGGACACAGCTGAACACGGCGCTTGCAGGGAGATGCTTCCCAGCCACTCTGTCCTCCATCCCTGTCCCCACACACACAGGTCCCACCGCCTTGCTCACCATCACAGCTCATCGTGGGCAGTGGAGCGGAGGTGGCCAGCACTGCCCCGTGTGTCCCTCAGGGTCTTCTGTGAGCCAGCCCAGTCAGTCTTCTTGGCATCGTCATCCCAGATGGTGGAGGTCTCTGTGTCACTCAGCCAGTTGCTGTCCCCGGCGTAGTGGGTGGGATAAACCAGGAGAGGGTGAGCTGAAAACACCAGCAGGTCCCGGGGAACGAAGTGCCGCTTGTAATCCTCGCTAGGGAAAGCAGAGTGGACCCAAGAGGAGAAATTGGCTTACAGAGCACGGCCTGGTGGAGAAAAAACATCTGGGAAAGCAATACCGACTGCCCAGGGAAGACACCGCATGGGGCAGGTGACGGGGAGGGACACAGGGTACCAGGGAGGGTGTCCAGGGAAGGCAGAAGATCTGGGGGGGATGCTCCATGCCGCTGCTGCCTGCAGAGCCTGGCTGGGGAGGGACTGCGGAGGGACCGCGGAGGGGATGGGACCCATCTCTCCCCACCAGCCTCGGTGGCACGGGGCCGGCGCTGGCACAGAGGGGGTCTCCAGCACAGCATCCTGCCGGCCCGGCCCCAGCTGGCCCTGGGCCAGGGCTGTCTGGTGCCGTTATCCCAGCAAGCATGGGACTCCCAGCTGCTCCTGGTTCACATCCAGAGCGCTAATCCGCCCCTCCATCCACCTCCAGCCTCCCTTTTACACGCCTAATCCCTCTGTTTCACCATGCTGCTCGCTGGTTTTCCCACCCCCTCTCCCCCGGGACACCCGGCCACCAGTGCTCACCCATCCCCTAAATTGCTTTCCCCTCCCCAGACACAGCCTTGCCGCTGACCCCCGCCCGGGAAGAGGGGCAGGGAGATGCCCCAAGACGGGGCTGAGACCCACAACCAGGGGCAGGGGACGAC